GACATTCGTGTAAATCTACGCACATATTGTTCTTGGTTTGGCACTATTGCTTACCGACCGGGACTAAGTTATGTGATAACTTCCAAAAAACATTGGCATTTGAAACCTTTATTCTCTTATTGTCACTTTTGGTTTTCATTTTGGTTTTCCGGTCATATTTTCCCGTTGAGCGTAACCGCAAGTCTATGAAGGAAAGACAAAAAATATTACCTGAGATAGTATCAAGTTTGCCGAGTTAAATGGCAAAACCGTTTGAGTGTTTAATTCATTGTCGGGAAAAGGCCTAAGCACATCAAATTATATGAGCTCGAATATACGCCTTCCCAAAAAATAGCAGATAAATGGGGCTGTGGTCAAAGCGTATCGTAGAAATCCATCTATCACTTGTCCCAAATGACCACGTATACACGAAAAATGCGGTTGAGTACGACTGACTACTCACAAACACATCAGTAGCCAAATGTTCATGGATCAAAGCTTCTTACATTGAAATCTTCCCAAAGTCGATCGAATGATTTGTCCAATGTTCCCAACTCGGAAACGAACACCGCATAGAACTTCGACCTCAAAGAAAAATTTGATCGATATGGTTTAATTCTGTTACTGTTTACGGTTTATCTAACTCGATATCACATGTATCTGTCGTCACTAGAAAACCTACGAAGTGACTAGATGTTAATTGTAATAAGAGATGGGTTTTCAAACGCATTCGGATACAGTTTTATTATTATTCTTTAATTTTACAGACTCAAATAAATTAGTTACTCTATAGTGCCCATCCGGGACAAAGCACATCAAAAATGAAGCCTATTGTCTGGAAGCAAAGAACACTTCAACTTAGAGCTCAAAAACAGCCAGCAACTTGGATTTACGTTGTGCAGCTTAGGCTGAAATTGAAATAGCAGTAATCAATCGTTCCTAATAGTGACCTCACCAAAGCCAAAACATCATGTTATTAGATAGCCATTAAATTTCATCCCTCTTTTGTACCAAAGAAAATAATCTACTTGGAAGCTATTCCGAAATCTTCATACATTTCTGTTTCATTTACCTCTGTGGGTATTTGATAGTTGAGCTCAGATACTCAGTCACAGACTTTTCACAGTGAAATAAACCTAGATTTTTATGTGGCCGAGGCAGAGGGTTAGTTGTTCGCAAAACTGAGCATAGAATTTAGAGTCTCGATCAAGCAAAAACTGTCCTCAATTCAAATCGTAGCTATGTGAGCCGTTGAAATCGAATACAGCTCAGTCCATCGGTAATTATTCTTCCCCAACGATCAACAAATAGACGATTAATAAAGTAAACTGGGAACAGGCATAGAGAAATTAATTTGGATCGCTGTGGATTTTCAAAGCTGAAATGGTCTTTGGTCTAGCTTGAGTTAACACCGAGATTCACTTCTAAACCTCAACGCCTAGCTCATCTCAAAAACATACCTTTCCAAAAGTATACCAATTGTCTTTTACAGTTCCATGAACAAAATAGTGTGAATATCGTTCAGAAACATTCCACACTTCAGATATCGAGATCTGTTCACTATCAACCTAACCACCGAGTTTATGCGACAGGAGCTCGAATTAACTATTCTATCATGAAATACTGAGCGTCTGTTTTGTGCCACATTTGATTTTCAATCATCTTTTTTGGTTTAATCCTGAGAAATAATCTATATTGACCAGAATGGGTGGTACAAACCGAAACAACTGACAAATTCACCCATTCAGAATACCAAAATTTTAATAAAATTAGAATTTACGGCAACTTTAATCGGCTCACATCTGCCGTAGAAGTAATAGTCGTCATATTGGCATTAAACTCTTGTGTATCATTAGTCATTGTGGTATATTCCGTATATTGTGCTCTCATAATTCATTACCAGAGTCGATTGGGATGACAACGTGGGATGCATAATTCACTTAGTGCGCATCTGTTTTGGGAGATTTGTGGGTGCAGCTTAAACCAGATATCATGTGGCACTCACCAGTACACGAGTGCATGAGGCTCGGAGATTATCTGAACAGTATTAAATAACTGTTGTGTTATCATTGGGTAAAAAATGTAGAACCTCTCACAGGTTGTCGAACCGCTGTTGGCTCTATCGAAACGGAGGTGCTAGTCGTCGAACTGGAGTCCATTTCAGCAAATAGATGGGAACAAAAGGTTGATAAAGTTTTAAAGACTGTTTAAATGACATAGCTGGACACAAACGTGCATCTCAGTTTTTCCAGTCTCACAGAGTTCAACAGAATTCAACATTCTGTTTATCTAGTGAAAAAAACGACTCAGCAGTGATTTGTCGCCACCACTGCCTAATAATTCAGTAGTATACAAAAGAAATCACAGTTTCTGCATTCTCCAAGTGATCAACTTGCAGCTGATTGCGAATTGTATTGCGCCATTTTGCCAAAGTACGTACTTAAAGCGTTCACTACACTAAGCCGTAATCGTTATCCTAGAATCCTAACCCAGTCGCTCTACCTACACCATGTATCACCCCAAGTCACGTCCCTGCACAAGTTACATCACGTCAATCCAAGATGAACCAACTAATTTCGATAATGTTTTTGTGTTTTACCCGGCATGCACACAGAGAGGTAAATTTGTACAAAATAAATTGTGAGAAAATGGATTATCGGGAATAGAATTGGATTATTTAACCTCACCTAAGACAAGCTTTCGATTTCAATCACCAGTCTGTTGTTCGCTGCACACCAACTGATTTTTTGGAAGAACAAACGTAGAGTGCAAGCGTACAGTGGCTTGGTTTTATGAACAGTTACTGGTGTGAAAAATAGGCAATAAATATTATTTTGCAATGAATGGGAACTATCTTAGAGTATTGTTTTCGCCTAACCGGTCGAGCGATAAAAAGAGCTTGAGTACTCAACATTTTTCAATAATTAGATGTCACTTCGGTTTGGGATACACTTTGGAGAACGTTCGACAATGTAAAATCTTTGGAACTAATCTAGCTTTTAACTTATTTCTTAAGCGAATTGAGTTTCAACGTGTTAATTTTATTATGACAGTTATTCACAGAATTTGATTGGGAAACGAGAGCTTAGTTACACTCCTCGTGTGTGTTTTCTTTGTATGTAAAGCGGTCCTCAGATCTGTATTTCCATCTGCTACCATATAGTGGCTTTCATTAATAACTTCTAATCAGATCTATATTCCGGTAATTTTATTTGAATTTGCGATTTAGTATACAGGAATCACTTTCTTAGGTTTTCCGTGGATGTTTTTTCATTTATTTCCATAAAGAATGCCGCCAAATCTACCAAAGGAGCGTTTTCACGTAGTTACTAATTTACCTTGAAGAAAATAACATGGAGTGATTTATGACCTGTAAGGAAGAAGCTTGTTTTCTGCGTAGTTGTTGAAAGAGAGGATGATACTACTGTAGTCGTACTCTAACCGTTATCTTCTCTTGCAAAACCATTTGATCCCATTTAATATTTGTTGCTACCCGTTGTGCACATCTTTGTTTATTGCAATCATTGTTTATAACAACATAAAATCATTAAATTTTCATCTTTTTCTGGTGTTAAGCCGATCTTGTTCCCTATACGTTTACTAGTCGAATGCGCCAGACTAATCTTGAGTAACTACGGATTTCAGTTGGGAATGCCTGCATTCACTAGAGTTTTCACAAACCATGTAGTGGTGACCATGAAATTTGAAAAGATTGGACTTTGTCTTATTGGCTTCTTTCGTTAATTGCTGCGGCTGTTCCAATTTATAGATTTCGTTCCATCTTATTGTTTTTTTTTCAGTATTGTGCTGAACAGTTTTCCCTAATACAACCGCTCTGCTATTCAAGTTTGAAGCCCATTCTCCTTGATCTTTTATTCCTCTCTGAAACCGCATTTATTCATCATGCTAGACAGAGAGCCAAAAGTACCGAGTGTTCATTACTCGCTGAAATAAAAAAATACAAAGATCTGTTACTTAGCGAATTGTTGATAAACCTGGGGCTTGTAATAATGAATCACGAAGGTCACTATGCTAAAAATGTTGTATTGAACTGGCTGATGATACAGCCCAGCCTTGTACACCCAAAAGTAAACGATCAACAAATACGGTCGGTTTATCATGACATTGCATTATTTCTGAAACTGCTTTAAGTATTGGGACATTAAAACACTCGGTCACCAAAAGGACTGCCTTTCGCACTTCACCGATGGTCTGTATCCTGTTTCCACCAATTTACTTTTCGGTTTGGCAAGTAAGCTTCCCCTAGTCTGGATGACTGCATATGTGAGAACGATAGAAAAATTTGGTATAAACACCTTGTCCCACCGGATTACACATAATGTGGCATCGAATACCTCTTCACGTCATCTGAGCAATCCATCTCGATGTACGTGAGGCATCTAATTAAAAAAAAACATGGATGCCAGATTCTCTTTAGGTTAGTGTACCCAATTTGCTTTATCAAAAATGCGACGGAGGGTAAAACTTCCGAAGCTGTTGCATCTAAGCAGAGTGAAAGTTCTGGTATAGTTGTGTCCTATGCAGAAATATCCATTCCCTCTNATAACGACAGAAAGATGTTCAAACTTTTCCCATTGGTGAACGAATATCTTGGACTTTATTGTTTATTTATCCGTTATAACCCCCTCCCTTCCCTAAATCGTTGTCTTGTATTTATTTTTGAGATTAAACAAGCCTTCAACCAAAACGAAACCACCGTTGACTTGCTGACCAAATAGGGAGACTGCAGAAAACCGCGAATTACCAGTTTTGTCAATCGCAAAGTAGATAATTTTAGCCAAATTTCCCGTACAAGATCAGTTTTTGATGTTGTTGACAAATCGAAATGGTAAACCAGAGGTCGATTTGAACACGACTACACGAACGATTTATTAATCTACCAAAGGCATTTATGGTTTCCAGAACCAGCTTAGCATTGTTACAAATCAAGCTAATGAAACTGGTTAATTATTTGACCCACATTAAATCGAATAGACCCTCGACAACTAGCATTACTGCTCCTATTGTATAATCTGACCCGCCGCATGAAGCCACCAAACCCATAGCAACAGAAGTTTAATCCGGAACGCTTTCAGGGCGTCAGGTTTAGCAAACTCAATTGGATTTTGACTGAATGCCATTGAAGCTCTGTTGGCCATATCACCACCTTATAAATGAAACGTTCGGACATTGCACTGCAGACCTAAAGGATAAATTATCAGTGTTTAACTACCAAACGAACAACCTTGAATGCAAGGGCACGGATACTGATGAATCAGAATTTATTCTACCACTAAGATTGATTAGGTATCATCACAATTGCGGACTGCAAGTACTATGTCTAAATCGAATTCTGGGTCTGACAAACAGAACGCAGTTGTAAATACCACTGGACTAATCAAGTCAAAAGCGGATATCACATCCTTTAATCAGTCCATCTGAAATCGAAATGCCCATTTGAAAACATAGGTTTTATGAGCAGAAATAGGCTTGCATTAAAAAGTACCTTGAGCTGAAATGGCAATCTTGACTATATATTGGTATATTTCTGGCTGTTATCAATTCTAAGCTCCCCCCCCCCTCAGTTTCTGCTGCATTACCATTAGGACGTACAGAGCGTACACCGATTTCGTGGTGGTTCATTATCTACAGAATAAGCTATTCAGAACCGTAGTAGAATCTGATTAGCAAAACTGAGAAAATTGATTAGTTGTTCTGTAATCGCACTGAACGAAATCTCAGACAGGGAAGAACGAATTACACAATCGCAATAATAACAAAAACAAAATATTTTTACACAAAAGTTTATTGTATGTCTAATGAATTTGTGTGCAACTTTCTGTACGTATTCATATGTATTTGTGCGTTTGCATATGTTACTTTGTATGTCTGTATGTCTGTCTGTCTGTCTGTATGTATATGTGTGTGTATGTATATATGTATTTATGTGCGTGTGTTCACATGTATCAGTGCATTTCTGTTCGGAATTTGCACTGCCCTGAGCGATCTGAATGCAAACGAAGTACATGGATGGGTCTTAGGGAACGGATGAGTATAATTTGAAGCCCAGTTTGGCTAAAGTGCGTGTGGTCGTGAGCGGGTGGCTGGGATAGGAGGAGAAATATACTGGATAAAAAGAGGCTGATTGTTGACGAAGGAATTTGTTGGTGGAATGGGACAATATGTGAGAAAAGCACATGTTGTACTTGTTACTGGTGATCATATTCGGAACAAAATGAATTTGGGATGCGGCAGGGTTTTAATGATGGATATTTGAAAAATCGCGATTGCCAATGCCCACAGATGCAGTGTTATATTATACACAAGATGTACCATTTCTGGCTGTTTACCCATGGTTCCTTCATAACAGAAAAGAAAACAAAAGATACATACATAACAGATGTTCGGGACCGGGGGATAGGTCGAGGCTGGGATGAAAGTTAGTAGGTTGGATTAGAAATGTGGATGTGTGAGTGTGTAAGATGAGAATTTTTCCCGGGAAGGAGGTGGAAGTCATTCAACCCTTGTGCGTTCTCAAAGTACGTAGCGGATAGGCAGTTATCATTATATTTCCTGTCGCTAATTTATAACTGACAGCCAAGTCAGAGTTGATACAAACTATAGCAGCTGCAGAGCAGCAAGGAAATAGTCATTGAACTGGGACGACTCAGTGGTATACTCCAGTCAAAAGAAAATCAGAACGGACCGCTAGTCTAGGCTCTCGCAATGATAATAATATCTGTGTACAATTCTCATTCATCGTTTTTGTTGGTGAGGTCAATTGTCACATAGTACCGGAGGATAATGATTCAACTTGATGGTCTCATTTGAACAGAGATGCGAACTTTCTGATTTTGTGTGAACTGAATGCGGTGACGACGAGGTTGATGATGGATCTGTTTTGATATCGTCTATATTCGAAGGATGCTTAGTTTCATCTGATTGATCTACACTTAAATCCGTGGATCCATCCTTGACATAAATACCATCGTCTAGCTTGATTCGTTCACTGGAACTGCCAGAGTGTTTCCTCGAAACAGATTCACTGTTATCGACTGATGAGCTCGTATTCTTTGATAAGGACGTTGAATCAGCCCCTCTGACAGCACATTGAAGTCTAGGGGACATATCGGACAAGGACAGGTTTTCGGCGTCTGTGGGAGAAGGAGTTCCATCGGAACTGGGTACTGGATGGGACAGAGGAGATCGAAGAACAGAGTGCCGCGGAGAAAGCTTCGGTCGACACAGATCAAGTTCACCCGTTCGACTTAAGTCGTCTGCTTCAGACGCACGGGAGACAGGTAATAAGCTGATATTTTTTTCCGCGTCCTGATCGAACCGTGCCGAATAAGACAGGAGTGGATTGTTCGCCAACAAATTCGCGTACGCCGAACTCGGAAGCATGTAAGGATTTTGAGCGACAGTGGATCCGTTGGTATCTGTCGGACAATTGAACATGAAAGGAAAAAGATTAAACAAATTAGGACCCAGTGATGGGTGTATTGATGGCAATCCGGAACCGATAGGTGCAGCCGGGAAAGACTGGTCGAAGAAATGCTTGGGCACTGGGACTGGAGTATGACCAAACGATGTATTTCTGTCTCCATTGGTGAGGGCTGGATCTCTGGTCAGGTTGGCTCCAGACATATCGCGTGTTTCAATGCTGGAAGCGTCTAATTGGACTGGAGGCTCACGCGAAGGTTTCAAACCCAAAAGACGCGGAATTCGAGACAGTAATTGAGAACCGGCGGCTGAGGTTTTAAACCAGCTACCACTTTGCTCCCAAGCTGATTCGGGACATAAATAAAATGGTTCAGATACACCACGGGCCTCGACGGGGCGGAGATTGGCGTACAACTCAAACAGTTCGACGCAGTTGAAGGGTAGAGGTTGACGTTTTGACAAATTCGAACCGGTAAGAGTTTGCATTCCTGAAACCGAGCGACCACTGAAATCGGTCGCTGTGTTTTTACCACCACCATGACCGCGACAGTAGCGTACTTCGGCCGATTCAAACAATGGCGTAAATTTGATAGACTTCACACCATGATCATCTGTGATTAACTGGAACTGACCCCAGACAAGATTTCGATGGCGTTGCGTACCTCCAATATTGAACTGTGTACGATTAATCAACCAAAGACTGTTAAGGACGGCCTGAAAACCAAAAAGAATACAAATGGGATTTGAAACAGAAAATTAGAATTATTTTTAAAAAAAATTATTGCTAACAAGACGGAACGAAGGAAAATTTATAAAACGAAAAACGAAAAGCACATTTACTGTTGCCTGAAAACTTCTGATTTATACGAATAGTTCGATATAAAGCATGTACAGATATGAATCAGACAACTAAGGCACTACGGTCGCTCTAGGTTCTCACGACAACGTTAGCCTGAAACGGGGTATCTGCTACTGTTCGTGAATGTGGTGGTAGCGGTATTATTATTACGGATGACTTTTTTGGTGGCGGTCATGATAGTGGTTGGTGGTGTAGGTGGTGATAGTCGCTCTCGTCGTCGTTGTCGTCGTCGATTTGATGTTGGTGATGATAGTGATGGCAACCAGTCAGACCGATACGTGACCAAATCAAATGATTTTGTAGACGATGATGAATGAATGAATCGCACTGCGCATCAATGTTTTGACAAAACCATCCGACAGGATATACACTTCTGTTCGCCTCCCCAAGTGTCCTTCATTCGTGTCATCAAACCGGACGGAGACGTGACATATAGTCTGCTCGGATCGCCACCACCACCATCACGACCGCCACCTCCAACTCATTCCTGAAAAGCTACCATGCCTTCGTTCTTCAGTCCCATCCAACCCATCACCTTCGCTTTCGCCCGAGTCATCTGATCATTTGCATCGTTTGTCTGCTATCCGATGTGCGCATTCGATAGAATTCGATTAGGCTGNNNTACCACGACGCAACTGTACCGACATTTGGACCAGGCACTATGACGATCGCAACGTGCATACACACAGCGGATTAGGATCCGGAATCAACTACAGATAGGATGTTCACACCTTGGTAACCAAAACAATCACTGCTGTGAAGCTATAGAGAATATACCCATTTGTTACCCCTATCCCATCAACACTACCTTCCCTACTTACACAAATACACATAGGCCTTCATTCTGCTCCACTCCACTCCACTCCACCACCACCACCNACCGCCGCTGTCACACACACACATACACACGCTTGTTCTCTCTTTGGCTGTCCCATGTTGCGAGAAATGGTTGGAGTCCAGACTCACGACTGCCGTTGAGTTTGTGCATATTTCTGCGCGAAAGAATACATTCACACAGACAACACGAAAGAAGTACTGACATGGCCCCGAACAAGTCCCATTTATCATAACATGCCCCGGGATGTAATAGGAAACAGATCATTGGGATAAGACAACAAAGAGTTCGAGAATGCATTATACTACTCATGCTGCTCAAACTGGATAAGTAGACAGTAGTAATGTGCCATCAGTACTGTTTCCTTTGTATTGATTACACGAGAATCGTGTTCGCCGATTAATTCGTCCGGACTAGAGTCTGAGCATGTAAGATTGGGCATAGGACTAGTAAACAGTGTGAGAGCAGATAATTCAAATCACTTTCTAGTTAAGCATGTTATTCAGCGTTACGGCGTTACACTTCTAACTGACAAATGGCTTTTGTTGAGTGTGAGTTCTAAGAGAAATTTTATGATCACAGAAAAGATCTCATTTTTGAGACTTTCGTTTGTGTGCCTGCGATTTTAATACGCCCATATCGCAGCTTATGATTGGCTTGACAATCAGTAAAAGACAGTAATTCGGAGTTAGTTATTTCACCGCAATCGGCTATTCGCATTCGTTTCATTGCATCGAATTTTACGAGTAGAAAGTCAGGCAGGATTGCTTTTTACAACGATTTTTAGAGCTATCTTATCATAATTGTTATGCCACGTTCTCGAGAAACGAAATCGGATGTTGTGCCATACTGCTCTCCCGTATGGTTTTCTGTTTTATACGGTGCACCATAGAAATGGTAACAACAAGAGGACATCATCGTCAGCAGAGATCCACTTCATACCTGTGGGTTGTCTTTTCCTAGTAGTCCAGCTTGAATTAAAGCCCCTGTGGTCAGCATCTTTCCGGCTTGAGATCTCTTGCTCATTCCTGCCGTCGCCCCATGTCCCGACCCGGTATCCAGTCCCGAATCGTCCATGGCGCGTTTGCCTGATCCGAACACAGACGCATAAGTCAGATGTGTCGACGCACCTGAACGACTCAGGGCCCGGAGCTCGTTCAGACGTTGATTGAGCACAGCTCGGGTCCCGGTAAAAGCACTTCCTTTCAGAACGGAGTGTGGATAATCATGATGCTGGAATAAGCCCAAATGAGAACACATGAAAAAGTGATTTATTATTTCCTTAAATAAAATTGAGGTTAGATTTTTCACGAAAGAATCAGAAGATGTAACAGCTCTTTTGTTAAATAAGAGATGTTACTGGGCAACCCAAACACAGCACAAGTTGTCATTGTTGTTGTTGTTACACCTCAAATAACAGAGGGGAACAATAATCCTTCTAATGCCGACCAATATATTCCTCCTGTTTAGGAGAAACGCATACAACAGAACAAGTTTGTATGCAACGTGATTCATCGAAACCAACGATCTGTTCACTGCAATTCCATATAGTGTGACTGAAGTAATTTGGAAATCTTTCTGTATATTCCGTACTAATGCAGAGGTGTCTCGTTCTGTGCATTATCTTACTGGTATGACCATAGTGTTGGCCGTCGATTGTGTGATACAGAGATGAGGATTTCGGACCTCACATCGAAGGTTGACAGGTTACGGGTAAGACTTATTGAGCACTTTTGACGAGGTCCAGCAACGATAAACTGTCTGCTCAGTGCTCTTTGTTGCTCACCACACAGGAACTGTCATCATATTTAAAAAGATTGATGCACATGTTTCCCGAATTTCATGCTTGCAAGAGCAAAACTTCTGTAGTACTGGATGCTTTTTCGAAAAACTAGACGTTAATTTGCAGAGGAGAATACGCATATTTCCTACACTGCAGAGACTGTGACGTGCTTCTTTTGTTTAGACAACTGTAGCAGAGTCATCAATTTGACAACAAAATCGTACAAGACATTTTAAAGCCTGCCAGATCAGCAGTGTCCAACTACGATTATACAACTAATTTTTGTCAGGCAACTGAAAAACTCTTCGAACCTTAAACAGCTCTTATTTCTTCCTTCACTTTTGTGTCTACTTGTCCGAAAACAGAGGATCAACAGCAAATCTAACTTTAAAATTTTATCATTAACTAACGACCAGATGTGAAACACATTGAAGGAGAATACGCTTTCTTATGGACCACATTGAATTATTTCTTTGGAACACATCGGAAGCAAGCATAATTTGTGAGAGCTAACTTTGGGGGCTTGTGAGAGAGTGCAAATGTTTGTTGAACAAAGATGTGTGTATGAATGGGGAACAAGTTTAGTACTGCGGTTCACAGAATGAATATCCCTCTCTCCCCACCCACCCCGAGGACCACCATGTATGTTCTCACTCTGACGCGTTTGGCCTAGATGTCATCGCGCTTTTAGCCAACCTGTACAGATATGTAAATGGACATGGCGACCAGAAGTAATAGGAACACGTGTCGCCCAGTTACCAAGATTAATAATAATCAAAATTTATCCACCTGGTGTTGTCCGAAATCAGCACCAGAATAATTTGGCTGAAATCCTTAGTTTTCTTCCGAGGACATTTAGGGACGGGTATCTTGGATCTACGACGGAAGGCGCATTACGGTGCTATGTGAGCGAATAATTTTCATGGAAATATATAGACGGTCCAACCGAGTTGTCACGTCGAATGTTACATGAGAGAATGAACGTGCGTGTGGGTCCTCTATAGACTGTTTTTTCGTGCGTGTGTCCCACACGGATCTGCATCTACACCCACACCCACATGTGCACATCATTCACAGGATTGGTCAACACACCGGGTTGTATTGTAACGTAACTGAGATTGTGTTAGATCTGGGACTACTGGGGGTCGGAAAATGGACAGGTGGGTTTTTTTACTCCCCAAACGTTGTGGTAAGTTGGGCAAGTACACAATACTCTGATCGACTCATCGACAGCCCAAGCACGGACCACCCGCCGGTGGCCATTCTGCAAGCAAGCGACTTCACTTGTGACAGGATTGTAGTATTTAAACGGGATCTGGTCAGTTGGTCCCTTCCATTCGGTAGACTGGAAACACTCATCCGTTCATCTGGATAGAAGATGGACAGTTAAACTAAACGGTAATCTGTTAACCCAGAATAAATCCCCAGTATGATTAGCCTAATGAATTCCAGTTACCATCTTGGGATTCGGAACACCTACCTCGACGTCCCCTCGTAGTGTATGTATGCAGACAGCGACTGAATTCTGGGGCAATCTATTCAATGCCTACATTCATATTTATTGCATTTAGGTCATATAGGTGTGGGTATGTTTAAATTGATTAGTCTCCCGTGTGATTTGATGGGCGATGTGGACATACAGTAGCTTGTATTCACAAATACACTAGTATTCCAAATAGGAGAATATATATTCAAGCTGTACTGCTTCACTCGTGGCCAAATTGGGTTGAGAAACTTATTTCTCTCTATAATGACATGACCGATCACATGGACCCATGATTTTTCCCCGGGGAAAATATTTGACCCAGTCCAATACAGGTAAAAAGCAAATTTTGATAGAAACTTGCCAAGAAACTGATCCCTGTTTGTTGCGGGTTTCATTTCGAATTTGAAACATAGCATCCTGATTTGAAGATCATCTATTTGAACTATCGACATAATCAATTTAATGACGATAATTCCATCGCACTGACTAAAATTTTAAATTGATCGTACTTTTTTAATTGAGCAGTGACCGCTGTTCAGTCACTGGTTTTATTACCTCGGTGAATTTGTTAAAGTCAAAAGTCACGTGAGCCTGTGAACGAGGACAATACAGCCCGAGTTTTGCCACAACGACGCTGGATTACTTAGCTCAGTGCGAATTCGGATTGAAAAAAATTTGATTTTAACCGGAAACAGAACAGACTCTACTGTGTCTTTCATCCCATAGCAACATTTATTTGTTGAACCATCTACGGTATACGAATAATCGATTATAACCAAAAATAGTATTATTGTTTTTACTATTACTAGGTTCAAATGACTCTAATACAATCATACATTACTCAGTAGATAGCCTGCCACAGAGATCCTGAGCAGTGAGTGTAAAGGCGGGAAATCGCAAACCCTTAATCTGTAGCAGGTCTCGATTAAGGACTGAAAATTTAACCCCATGATTTCTGTGTGGGATGAGATGTTATTATTATTCCAATACCACCATATTAGCTAGATGTGATCCTCTGAGAATTCTGAGCCCGATCAAAAAGAGACAAACCTTACTTTATTTGGATCAGCATTCGGACGAATAGAGTGTTTTGAACACCTAGTTGGACAGGAGAATAACCTGGCGAACTTAGTCCGGTCTGAAATGATGATGAGTTCCGTTAGTGCTGAACAGCAAAGAGCACTGAGCAACCAGTCCCCCCTTGCTGGCACTCAAAAGCGGTGCGCGTAACACTACTGTGTGTGCATTTCTCACCCGGAACTCAAACTGGGAACACTTAGTGTGTCTGGAGCCAAATCCCTTGCCGTTGTACAATGATGACGCGCGCGTTGAGTGCACGTACAACGAAGATTTGCTTGCATCGTATGTGCGGACCCATAGAGAGAACAAGGCGCATGTATTGCGCTGAGTCTTGGCATGACAATGCATTCTAAATGCGACAGACGTTCATTTGTAAATGTTTATATTGACATTTATGAGTAAAAATAACATTTTAAACCATACATAAACGGAAATAGGATAGAACCCGAGGTGTGTGTAAAATGCTTCGTACAAACAACAAAAAGGAAATTTGCTGTTCAACTTCCGGTAATCCATGTGAAAGAGATAGCGCATAGCACACACATTGATCCGAAATGAACTCACTTTCAGATGCCTTTCCAACGAGTGAACAAACGCTTTCAACGACTCAGGTTCATACTCATGTCCATCCTTCTTTTTTGCTGTGAGAACAAAATCCTGAGTTGTTTTTTACCGGAGGTGATGGGGACGTGGTTGAAGATGGGTGGGGAGTGATGTGTGAAAAAAATATTAAAAAGGTGACGTCAATTTCCCATCATTTGAAGGTGCACAAATGAAAAGGTAATTGTGTATACATTGTGATGCAGATTAAGATTGTATGGCATTATTTAGTGCGTTGCAGACATAATCATTTATATTTGTACATGTATGTAAACATTACTTAATTTATGAAGTCAGCTCTGAAGCCTCGTGACAATCACATAAGACCAAGTATGAAGGAAGCATTCTTAAAAGCAATGCATTCTTTTTCATTTCAACATACGGGTCGCATAACTACAAAATAGTTACCCAATCATACACTGAAATTTTTTCAGTTCTTTGAACTTTATTTGGCTATTTCTGTCACTTATTTCATATAAGTCGATCTTTAGTTTTTTCGTTTAGCTCTTTTATTGATCTACATAACTATTGTTTTGTAGACTCATGTAATTGACTAATAACATCAAAATTTTCCTTTCACATTTCGATGTTCATGCTCCCTCATTGATGGGAAAATCAAATATATCTGTATTGGTTGAAGTCGTGCGACACCGTGGATTTCATTAGATTTTTCTCTCATCTGAACTGCCACACGTGGTATCCTGATAACCAAGGTCGCGCCAGTGCAGATAGTGCTACAAAAGAATTAGGAACATCGCAGTGGGAGATAAAGTTTGGAACAAATGTTCTTAACCATGGGTATCGAGGTGCCGGTATGATATTGGCGAGCGAAATATATTTATGTATTTGTTATTATAATGCGTGAGCTCGATCAAAATCTGTAGAGCAGCCGGTTTTTTTTATTCTGTAAGTTGATTTTTTATAAGGGTTTACTTTAAGGTCAAGTGCCTGGTTGATTTTCTGCCAGTAAGACTTAGCCATTTAAAGATTTTAAAGACAAATTGCCGGACAGAATTAGAATAAGCACATTCCCTGTTATTTACTTAACAATTAAAATTAATATCTTAGGGTGATTAATCTTTTTAATATTGTTACAAAATGATCAGTAATGTTTTGTAGCTAAAGTTTTGTGGCAGTTACCATCGCACTATTTTGCAGTTTCTCATTTGTCGAACGTGCATATTGAAACTATTCAATTGTAGATTTCACCAACTCACTTGAATATATTGATCCAGTTCGTAGTATGGTATCTGATGTATGTCACGGGTATCATGTTTTACTTGAACCAGATATCGATGAATGACCTTCATGTCTGATCTTGTTTTGCGTAGAGTGTTATGCACAAGACCGTTTGTGGAACCAGCTTGATTCTCCGGATACGTGTTTCCATGGCCTGATGCTGATGTCACATTAGCTATCCCGGTACTGTTTGTTGGTGTTGATACTGTCGTCGGGGCTGACGAGGATGTTGGTGTTGTTGGTGTTGTTGTTGTTGTTGTTGTTGTGGCAGTGGTAGTGTTGCCGTGTGCGGGCTTGCTAGGCGAACCTGTGTTTGCTGCATGTGTCAGTGATTTATTTAACTCTCTAACCGATTTCCCAGAAATATCTGGTGATTTCGGATGATTTGTTTGGTTTATCATACCAATTACGTTTAAACGTGGTTCGGAATTGAGACCGATCTGATGATGATCCGCTCCCAGTGGTGCTTCTATTCTCGATAAACGTGGGGAAGCACCGGGCCACACTGATCCACTGTTCGCATCAGTCCGACAATCATTACTCATATCGGCACGATTTTCACTCCAAGAGGGACCAATTGCTAGGTTAGATTCAGTAGACGGGTTGATCAGACCACTGCCACCACCAGTGGCATTCCGTTGTACCGATGCATACAAAGAAGGCAACATACTTAAACCTTCACAGAAAGGGAACGGAGGTACTAATGCTGGATAACCTGGCATTATTTCTGGTTTGATCAGGGGAGTATAAAGGAGATCAGGAATTCTGGATGGTCCAGATGGTACGGACGATGAGGATGATGTTGTGGTTGAAGGCGGTGGTGGTGCCCAAAGTGGATTGGACGTTTTGAATGCATCCATAGACGTGGAACTTGTCTCGCCTTGGTTTGTGGCGCTCGTCGTAGTTGTGAGAAGAGGAAGTGGACAGTTCATTGATTCGTTTTGGGGAACAGTTAACCCATTGCTTAAGGTAGAGCCTGAAAGAAAGGAAAAAAGCAATCAAACCGGCCCAACTCATATCGCGCCAATGCTTACATCAGTGAGCATTAGTAATAAACAAAGATTAGGAAATACTTGAAACCAAAAAAGAAAACCATTTTATTGACGTTTGGATATGTGAATTTCAACTGTTGTTGATGAGGCGAACTTCTTAAAATACACTCCTGCCGATGCTTTCGATATGTGATTGTTTTTTTTTAACATAAAACAACTGCTAATAAAAATACCAGAGCCATGCCATAATTACTCAACTTTTGACTTGCTACGTTTCACATCCACTTCCCTACACAATTAATATGTTTACACTTTTCTGCAAAAAATCACTCTGCGAACCACAACCGGACCAGCAACCAACTACTTGAAAAAGAGTATTTATATTATTGCTAGAGAATCGTTTCATGTGAAATCCAGAGAGCCGCTCAAGTACTGGAGCTAAATAATCTGCCTACCAGATGGAATTGGACATATTTAGGTCCCTTAAAAAATAATTTTGCATGAAAGGAAATAATGTTTAGTTTATGCTCATGGTATTTCCCCTCTCAATCCTCATCCCTAACTCGCTCTTCATAGTCACTGGGAGGTTTCTCACGTGAAGTTACGGATCCCGTGTGAAGCTGACAGAATGTATCTCGAACTGTCCGAGCCGTTCTCTGTGAACACACCACGAATTTCATTTCCCTCATAGAATTAACTGCTTTGATGCACCTTTACTGCCTTACTCTCTCTCTCTCTTAATCACTGACTGGGTGAATGCGTTTGCTCAAGACAATATCCACACACACACACATACCCACGGTGATACAAAATCGGTACTCGGCTAATCACCAACTCCATCTTAGCGTTTACCGATTTGCGTGTCCGTGTACACAAAATCAGCTTGATCTGGATATCAAGGTGTGTGTATGTGTGTTGTATATTATTGCAAACAATCTCTGTGTTTGTATAAATATCTGTGTTTGTATCTCGTTCGCTCACTGTCTTCCTGTGTGCATTCCATTTTCAAAGTATTAGTTGTCAGGATGCGTGTGTGTGTGTGTGTGTGCACATATTGCATATGCATGTGTTTGCACATATTTATACCTGATTGAATGTATGGGTCTACGTGCCTAAAACCCTCTCATGGCCGATAACACCGCGGGAAGATGAGCGCTTTGATATGCTCACTTGTTCCACATACACACACACACACACTCGAACATGTTCTGGTGGACGCCTGATAAACCAAAGTCATTCCACCAGAGTATCTCCATCCATGTATTTACCTGCCCACAATGCTGCACAAAGTAATGCAGGACCACTTTTCGTCCATCAGTTTGTGGGAACGGAATATGTATATTTATATGCATATATGCATATATATTTGTGTATATAGACAGTCAGCTTTTCAGGAATAATTAATTGTTACTTCTGACTATTAGTCCTTTCAAGTTTTCGGATCACATTACGGGAATATCTTGCGATGCAAAGCAATTCTCACGATCTGTCTCCGGCTCAACGCCTAGAGACTGACGGGGGTCTCGAATCGAAATTGATTCCACTGTTTAATGATTTAAGGTACCCTCGTCCAGACGGATAGAGGAAAAGAAAAAGCGTGTCCCTAGAAATGCATTCTTGTAAGACAAGCGAACAAAATTATCTGTCCAGCTAGAATGTACAATCGCCTGGACGAGAAGGATGTGCGATCTGTATGGGACTCACAAAATTGATCTAAAAAGCGTTTCAATAGCTCACTTTCATCACATGCATGTAATATAGAATTGGTGCTTCAAAGTCAATGGACAAGAATTCAAATACTTTCAAAAAAAAGATTTACTGCAGGTAACGCTATGAGCTTGAACTATGAACTGAAACCTAGGAACCTAGTACGGGCATTAGGATTTTGGTTCTGTCCCCTCTCTTCCACCCATCAAACCACCCAAAAACACTCAGTCNTTGCAAAAATAACGGTACACCTGCACTGTGTACTGTGCGTTCACATAGAATCATACCACAGAATACAATGGAAAACCTTTTTCGTTTGTTTAATTATGGTTCGTGTGTCTTCCAGTATCCATCGGAATCTTGATTACGCTATTTCATATAAGTTCGATTGACAGAGGCACCGCACAATAACTACGAGCAATCCAGGAAAAAATAAACATCGTAATTTTGAAATTTCGTGCATCTAGGTTTTTAGACCAAATTATATTTTCTATTTTCCGAATAATGACACCACTCCATTGGAGTTTTTTTTAATTTTGTTCAAAAAGGAACCAGTCCGTGATATGTGAAAATATATTTAGGTGAAGTATTTATCTTGGTACTACATTCGTTCATTCATTCATTCCATTACATCTCCATGTAATCAAACGATCAGTCAGAGCATTTAGAATCTCAACCAACTGTAATACGCTACTTGTCCACATACCTGTCCATCTTATCTCTCACGGACTTTTGCCCAGTATATTTCAAGAACAAACGAACACGTCTTGTTGGAGGCATTTTGTTTGGGTCAATACGAATGCAATGGATATAGGCACGCACGCGCGCACTTTCAGTGATTCGTGCGAGATCGTAAGGGATATAACCGTAGCATCTGTCATTAGATGTACAAGAACAGAAACACTTGCCCCTCTCATATCCGGTCAGTGATTGCACAACTTACATATGGAAGTTGAGAAAGGGACCGGGTGGAATCATGCACACAACTATACACGCAGACACACACACCAACAGAAATATATGTGGATCTGGCACTCATTCTCTTATACCGTATCCCGTTTTCTCTTTCTCTGCGTAATAACTCACCTTCCGGATCTTGTATATCTGTTTGTGTTTTCCTGTCATAGTTGAAAGACATTTTTGTTCACCCCTCCGAAACAATTCAGTTTTATGCGTTTCATTGACCTAAATTTCATTGTTGTCTGTCTATGTATTTGCAAATTATTCATGTCCAGCTATCTACCTATCGCATAATCCGTTTGGATAGCTGGACGGTGTGTGGGTAGGTATAGAATAAAAGCATTTATATACAAGCGTACAGAGCTGTTTATATACACATACACATTCACCCACTTGTTGTGTCCACTCCCTCATTGTTCCAATCCCCTATCTTACGAGTGACGTTTCCCGCCCCTAAGAAACACGCTTACACAGACACACACAAAGAAACTCTTGTTACACTGCCGACCAACGGACGGATTCTTACCGTGGCGGTACAATAGTCACTCATATCG